GAAAGACGACATATTATGGCCATATCAGGGCACAGAAATGAGCAGAGTTTGGCACACTACAACACACGACCTTCAACTGCACAGCTACACAACTGCAGMGAAGTYCTCTCTAGAAATCTGGTTTCCAACTCAAATCCCCTTTGCCTTCCGTCGTCTACTGTCACCACTTCAGTTCAGCAAGCCACCAACTTGTCTGTAGCCGGAGGAGTTGTCCCCTTGAATGCCTTGCAGTCAGTTTTTAGCAATAGCAATTGTAATGTTGAAAACGTTCAAGTAGTTTTCCACAACGACAGCGGCCGCCGCTTTGCAAGTTGACTTTGAACAAAATGCCTTCGTTTGGCTTAAAAAAAGTCCATATGTTTGAGGAAAAACCTTTTCATAACATAATCTTTTCAAAACATAACTATTTTGATGATCTTAGGCAAGAGAAACTTTTAAATAAACTCCTTACAGTCAAGTACAAGCCGTATATTATTCAACTGATTGTTGTTTTCACGTGGGATATGTTAATTTTAGCGTGCTTGAGAATCTATACTTTCGTCGAATAAAAATGCAGTCTTTCAATATTTCAATGGTTCCTTCGCCTTGCCTATGTTATAAAAGAAATGGTTCATAGGTGGCGTGCATCCATCCTGTTATGGATGCACTTGGGAGGTTGACTAAGCACTCAAAAAAGGTAGAGTAGCACTCCGCTTCGCGTCGTGTACCACTCGTTACGCTTTTTATCGTGCTTAGCAACCTCCCGGCTCCATTTAGTTTCAATTTCAGAAACATCTGAAATTGAATGTAGAGAATTAATAAGGCGAAAGAAGTTCAAATCGTGAGTGCTGTACGAGTATCTCAAATAACTGCATATGAGCGGTGAGTTTGTGAAACTCTGATACTGTTTGTCCAGGTGCCAGCGTGAGAGAAGATCTGGTAATCGGTTGTCACTACCAGGAATGTCTCGCTCGGAGTTGAAAATCGTATGTTGACGATAAGAATTATAATTCACGAACATATGAAAAAAGCAGGTTGTCTTTAATTCTTGTGACATTTATTATATGCACTGAGAAAATGTTGTCGCAGTGAATGAGAATGCGCTTTCGACACCAGTTAGGTCCCCATGTTTTGCAGGAGACGACAACTGTCAGGAGTTCCAAATGATGAATTCGTATTTCCAGGTTTGAGATAACATGTGAGGGGAAAGAGGGGAAGGTGCTATGGAAGTATTATCGCCACACAGTCCACCACATCCAGTAAGGTATGCACCAGTAGCTATCTCATCTGCTATGGGCATGTGGCGTTCCAGCATAAAGGTTTAATACCATTATAAGCACTGATGAAGTTCTCTACCATGTCAAATCCTGTCGGAAACCGGCTTTGATGCTGATGCGATGGTGCTACTTGTGCACAGAGTGAAGTGTTTGTAATAGGCGTGACATGAACATTCGCCCAGGTGGGATACAAGCGGCGACAAATGCTAATTTTCCGATGAATGATTGGAGTTTTCTCTTTGAGCAATGTTTACCGAGTATGCCATTTGTTGAGCGCTGTTCTAATTTCATCAATATTTTCCGGTTGGTATTGTGGGAGCAACTGTTTTATCGGTCGCTTCTTGGAGTCCGAGATCTGTTAGAAGTTGTTGAAATGACGTGAAAGCTGCTTCGGCTTGATCAACTGAGCTGACTCAACCGATATCGTCAAGGTAATTCACAGCTGTGAACCCATTCTGTGAACCCATTCTGTGCATGCATGTGTGTTATAGCGTTGGTGACACGTTGACAGACCCGAGGAGCGGATCGAAGTCAAAATGGCAGCCTGGTGTCGATGAAATAAACTTCTGGCCACCAATAGAAGCCTAAAAGATGATAATCGTGTGGGTCAACCGGTAGTTGGCGATATCCACGCCGTAAGTCTAACTTATACAGTAAACATCCTGGCCTATGCTCCTGTATAATGCCAATGAGGGACTGGATAGTGGGATATGAAGGCCTCAATGGTTCTCCGAAGAACTGATTCTTTGGAATTCCATGATTTACAGAGGTCGAGGATGGGAAACTAAGTTCCATCCTTCTCATCAGTCGTGTTTTTCTTTGGTACCTGGAGATATTGAAACAACTAAAAAGGGTTAGTATAGTATGGGCCAGCTGTTGCTACGTAAGAGACTTCTTTGATTATGAAGTTGTCGACGTGTTCACAAAATTTTAAGGCTGATGGGTGATTCCTGAGGCATGGGTTTGTGGTAAGTCCTGTGACTGATAATTGAGTGGGCAACCGTATTCGAGAAACTCCACTATGATATTTTATCCCAGTAACCGTGAAGTTGTGAACGCCAAACTGAAATGTTGAGCGCTGTCTGTAATGTCATTCCCAAGCTGTTGTGCTTGTAAAGGTTCGAGTCATGAAATAATCAATTCAGCGAGCTTTTGAAATATATGATTTCTTTGTGAGTCCGACTTTAGGGGAGTCCGTGAGTGTGTCCTTATTTTGTGTCCATTGATAATGATTTTAGAGCTTCTTGTAAAGGTAAAGTGTTGTGTTTGACGAATTTGGAGTTAGTGTTTGTGTCAGATTTTATAGCTGTCTGGTTGTCAATTTTGTTTTGTTCATCCTAATCAGCTTGATATTTTCTTGTCCTGCTGTTGCGATGGTCGGTTTGGGCACTCGACAGCTGGGTGACGAAGTTCTACCGCTTGGAACCGTAAACAAGGTCCACAAATATGTCTTTCCGTAATGCCGTCGACCATGTGGCCATAAAATCTTTGTCGCAACGGTTCGACTGTAAGGCACCCGGCAATACCGTGTTCTGGCACGTTGGCGTGTGACAGAACTACCAGATCTTGAAAGTAGGCCTTTTTTGTATCTGGTCAAGGAGGCAAGTCTTCACCTTTCTAATTTGATTGTGATGTCCCACAACTGTCCGTCCTAGGACCGCCAACTTGTTTCTTTTGTACACTTCTCATATAGCAGATGTTATCCATTCTCACGGTACGTCACGGTTTAGACTTTCTTTTTTATGCTGACGACGCTCACTTCGAGAGATGAGACTGTTAGCTGGATGAACCTAGACATGCGGTATCGTTATGTTGCTTCAAGCAATTTATCATAGTAAAGCTGACTTGATGTTTTAAAATATGTTCTTTAGTCGCTGCCATAGTTTTGATTTGACTGATGGTCGCGCCATCGACTTGTTATCGTCACGACCTTCCCCTGCGTTTACATCAGGCTATCTAACTATGCAATTCACATACATCGAGCGCGGAAAACGTTTTCTAAGTCTTTTGGTTACACTTTTATTCGTTATTTTTCTAATGTTTTTTTTTTGTCTTCTATGAAAATAGGAAATGGGCGATTGACTGTTGGATTTGTTGAGAGGCATCCTGGAAAAGATCTACCCGTTTTAGCATCGCTGAACATTTGGATATCTACGACAGACAAAGAATTCCTTGAAATGAAGACCTATGGATGCAGTTATTTGACTTCCGAAATACAATCTTTAATTTCCTGGAGAAGGTTTTCTAAACTAAGAAACAATCTTGCAAGATTAGAAAAGCCTGCTACATGCAAATTCATAAGAGGTATATGTAACTGATAAAAGGCTACTTGCTGTTGAATCTTTCGCTATTTTGTGCAAGGCTGTCATCTCACCATTTGATGAAATGAATTATGATAGCCACTAGCTTATAGACGTTGAACCAAATATTGATATGGACTAATTCCCTCTGTTATTCATTTAATAGATCAACAAATGTTCCTAAAGAACGAATCTGAAAGTACTTTGGTGAGCCCAGTAAACTTTAAGAAGTTGAAGCAACTTTCAAGTCATTACTTCTATTTCACTTATGCATTTCTTGGCAAGAACAACAAAGTCTTGAAAGTTGGAGTGAATTTCTCTCAAGAAGCAATAGTCCCTGTGTGGCTCTTCAAAGATGATATTGTTAACCAATGGCGAACTGGAAAGATTCCAATTAACAGCAATCATCCGTACCAGGTAATGATTGTTAGTACCTATAGATATTGTTACATATCTAAGCGATCACAACGATACACGTATGTCGAAAGCCTGTTTATTATGCGCATGCGCAACAGTTGTACAATAACATAATAGTAATATATTAGCATAATTATAACCTAAGATGGGTATATAACATCCCCTCTGTTTTACAAAAATAAAGATGACTTTAAATATMATGGACAAATAAACAATAGTAAAAAGAATGTCAACATGTGTTTGATCAATGGTT